CCCTCCCGTCTCTGGCCCTGACATCCCCTGAAGGATGAAAAACAATCCAGCTTCGGCCCCCACGTCCGGCTCGTGCCGAATGACCCACCTGAGGCTGTAGAATCAGGAGACCTGGCCACGCATCCGCTCAGAGATGCTGCCTTGCGAGAAGGGTTTTCCTGTGTTTTGCAGATGCATCATGCAATGAAGTCTGCATGTGTCTGATAAACCTTCATCACAAGCGAATCTATACACTGATACAAGCGTATCAAGCATAAGGAGAGTATTACCCTAATTTCATAAGAGAAAATCGTGCTATACTCGTGAAGGCTCTTGTTTCTAACCTGCTTCTGTGGTTAAGTTTTAGTAAATTCGTTGCTGCCCCACTTCCTCTCCCCTCCCCAACCCCGTGTGCCCTCTGCGCATTGCCTCTGTATCGGAACGACTGATTTTTTAACATAGATATAATTTCAGAAATGAATGGCTACTTTACCTGATTAATTAGCTATATATATGTATTTGATTCTACCTAAAAAAGGAAGCTTTGGGGGATTATTTTTGGGAAGAGATTGTCTCTTAGCTTCTTGCACCAGCTTCTGTGCGGTGCTGTGTCCCTCTTCCTCCCGGGGAAGCGGGGATGTCGGACTCCAGTGCAAGCAGAGGTGGTGTGATCTCAGCCCTCCCTCCCCCCAGTCCTTTCAGCCGCGTTGCTGTGTGTGACTCGTGGAGGGGGGAGGGTGCCCTTGCCGATCCGTGTGCGTGGCCACACCAGACGCCTTGTGCCCTGGAGGGACCGCACACCTGCTCCTCACATGCAGACTCCCCAAGACAGACCATCCCTGGAGCTCCCAGCGGACCCCTTCAGAGGCTGCAGGGCCCCCCCACAGCTGCCCTGGAACCAGCCAGGAGCCCTCCGTGGGGGGCAGCATCCAGGCCAGGCCCTCGAGGAGCCGGCTTCTGGGCAGAAAGAACATCCCGAATGGAAGCCACCTCGTCCCGCCAGGGCTTGCGTCTCTCCTGGTTCCCGGGAGCAGCTCCAGGCTGAGTGCCTCCTCGACATGGTTCCGCTGTTTCCCTGATGTTGGTGGGACACGCGCCCACTGAGGGGCTTTGAGTGGGTTGGGGGGGCGTCTGTCCTGGGAAGGAAGGGAGGCGGGTGGGGAGCAGGTCAGCCCCGGAAAGAGCAACTCCTCAGCCGCCTCAGATGGGCTGTGGACTTCAGAGCGGCGGTCCTGCTGGTCAGCGCACGTGTGGGGGTCGTGTCCTCACCAGGCCCACCTCCGTTTGGTCTGGTAGAAAAGGGACCAGTTTATAGAAAGAACCTAAGAAACAAAAGAGCCCGTCCTCATGCCCAGAACGGAGCCACGACAGACGGTGCCCCGCCGAGGCCCTCGGACTGGGCGTCGCTTGTCCTGAGCCCCGAGCCCACACTGCCCGCCTGGGCTCAGCCCGCCTGTGCTCAGCCCGCAGGGGCTCCGGCTTCCCGGAAGCAGTGACTCATTTCCAATCACTCAGATTTCCCCAGGAAACACACTCACCTCCCAGCTGCTGGCCTGCTTTCCGAGCCTGTGACGTTTTCAAAGAAAAGGCCCCATCTGCGGACGGGCACTCCGCCCGCCCGAGGGACAGCAGGCTTGGGGACGGGCAGGGAGGCTGCCCACGACCCAGCCTGCTCGGTGCGATGCTGTGTCCTGGATCCCGATAGAGACTCCTGCTTGGAAGGTTCCAGCAGCCCCAGCAGTCACTGCGGGAAGATAGGCACGTGGAAACCATCCCAAAGCTGCCAGCCGTAGCGCCTATGAGATTCCATGGCGCCGTCCTGCTCGCAGGCATCGTGCGAATAAAGGCCCAGCAGCCTGGTGGGGGCTGGAAGGTGGAGGACCTTACAGGTGATGGGGGAGCCCTAGGAGGTTCCAGCCCGAATCGCCAGGGCCCCGGCCGAAGCTAGCAGAATCTGAACCTCCACCGGACGCAGCGGCCGTGCCTCCAAAAGGCCGGCACAAGGCCCTGCGGTAGTTTCTCTTGGACGGCGGCTGAACCGGGCTGGATCTCCCCCTGCGGCTGCCAACGGGCGGGCTGCAGCCCCTTCTCTCGGCATCTCAGCGAAAGCCACCAGGTGTCTGGTTTGAATGGGAGGCTCTGGAACACGGCCGTCGGAGTTCACGGGAGGTTCACTCAAGGCAAGAACTGACTCCAGAGGTTGATAAATGACTGCTCGTCAACACGTCTAGTCCTCTCCTATCCCCCTGACCAGGCACACGTGCGTGCAGTACCACTGCCTGTCTTTCCTCATGAGGCCTTCTTACGGGGATTTGGTGGAAAGTCAGAAGGTTGGGAGCTCTCTGGGAATGACCTGAGACTCTGCAAGGCCAGGATGAATGCAGCCCGCACGTGACCCCTGAGCTCAGCTCCCGCAGAGTGGGGGACCTGCTGGGGGTGAGGGTGCAGACCCAAGGGGGCCTCCTCCTGGTGATCTGAGAGGTGAGAGGTCAGCGGAGTGGAGGCGGGTGAGGCGTTGGGAGAAGAGCGAGTTCGGTGTGACTGGAAGGAGGCTTGCCGACGGAGGCGAAGGAGAGGGCCCCGGGGAGGGAAGCTGTTCCGTTTCCAGGGCTTCCATCAAGGTCGTTGGTGCCGATGAAACACCGCCGGCTGGTCCTTGAGAGCGAGTCTGTTGCCAGGGACGTAGCCTCGGCCTCACAAAGCAGCTCCCACATGCCAGCAGCATCCTCACCAGCTGCCAGAGCCCCACCCCGCCCTGCATGGGAGCAGCTGAGCCCCAACCACCCACCCGCCCTGGAAGCCAGCAGGTCCCACCATCGCCAAGCACAGGGCAGCCGGCAGCCGGGGTGGATGGGGAAGTCACCAAAACTAACCGTGGTCCCCGCCTGATTCCACTTCGCAAGGGAAACTCGAGGGTTTTGTTTTTAGGGGTTTTTGCTGGGATTTGTTTTCTCGCTGCGGAGGAGAGAAGAAAGCGGGAGTCCTGCATTTTCAGAAGCCTCAGGAAGTCACCACTCTCTGACAGTCATTGTCTCACTTGTGTCTTATGGAGTCACCTGTTTCTCGTGCGTGCCGTTCACACCAAATAATCGCGATCTCTAAACAATGGGCTCCAGCTTCCCGGGAAAGCTGAGCCAGGCACCGCCAGGGCTGCGGGAGCAGCGACGGCTGACAGGTTGTGGAGGAGAGAGACAGGTGGAGGGCCTGCACCCTGGCCTGACTGAGTGCTGGGAAGTATTTTACACACATGCTCCTCAAGCTGCCCGGGTTACATTTTGTGACATACAGCCGACCGTAAACACGTCCGTCCTTTCCCGTCTGGGGATCTTGTCTCTTCCTGCTGTGAGGAGATGCAGAACATCGGGGAAGGTGCCCTGAGGTAGGCAGGGATGAAGGCCGTCGTCATGGTGACCTCGGTTCCGTTAATTCTGTGATGTCCTGGACTCTGGGAGGGTTCCCTGTGCCTCTGTCCGTGAGCAAGTGTCCGTCAGTAACCCCAGAGGTGGGGCTCTGTCATCAAACAGCCTTACGATGCCCCTACACTAAAGCCCACGGGTCCCAAAGACCTTTTTCTAAACCTTAAGGGAGAAATTAACTCCAGGAGAACAACTGGGTATACTGGGCTCTTTGTACTTTTTTATAGAGAACTTTAATAACTCCGGCCTTCTTTTAAAATGAGTTTTTAAAATAAAACCCCTGACAATTTGATAAGATTCCCATCACACACTCCCTGTGGGAGGGCTCAGCGGCGGTCAGCTGGGGCGGCCCCGACCTGCACTCCCTCTGCGGGTTTCCCCGTGCTGGTGGGGTTCGGCGACCTCCTCAGAAAGACGGGAAGTTCAGGTGGAGCATTTGGTTGACTGACGCCCTCCGTATTTTTAATAGACACGAGGGACAGCTGTCCAAGATTTAGGAACTCGTAGGCCCTGGAAAGATGGCTTTATTGTCCCTCTTCCCGATGCAGCCCTAGGGTAGCACTCACGGGGGTCCCTGAGCCCCTCTCCTTGCTCTCCGTGGCTCTGTGACCACCCTTTGGCAGGGGCTGGTGGGGGGGGGGGG